GTGAAGTAATATATATATATATATATATATATATATATTTTTTTTTTTTTTTTCTTTTCATTTTTATAATTTGCACCCACTATCCTTAATTTTTTAGTTATTGTTAAATTTTCTCTTTTTTTTTTAATTAGTTTCATTTTCTTTTTTTCTACTCATCAATTAATTTTATGCTTTATTCAGTTAAACAATTCATTTTATCTCACCTCATGTAGCGTCCGACAAAGTTGATTTTTTATGTTTTTTATTATACCGCAGATCGAGAGAGAACAAAGTTGGTATATTTTAGAGATTCAAGAGAAACACAGTACTTGAATAAAACAAAAGAAAAACAAAAACTTACATGCATTATTAACAAATAAGTACTATATGAAATAATATAATATATATGTGTTCCAATATTATTAGATAATGAACAAGATGACATTGAAACATGTTAATTGGTAAAAGAAGAAAAAATATTTGAATAATTAACTACGAGGAGATTGCTTTCTCAATTCCTCCTTGAATTTCTACGCCAATGAACAATCGGTTTGAGCAAAAGAAATGGTTTTCTTATCAAGATCATACTCTACCTTATGGTTCACTTGTGAAATGCTGCCAAGAATGGAGAAAGTATCCTCCGTAGGTAAGATCGCCAAGCAAACAAGTTTGTCCAACGATATATACGCATTATTACTCGAAGGCAAAGGAAAGGCACCCCCAGAAAAATTGAACGTAATACTAGGCAAATCGAGACTTGTTAAACCCTCATAACACAACTTGAATGGTGGAGGTGGATTAGCTAGTGGCTTATATTCTCTAGAATCAGTGATCTCGTCATAAAGACTATTGAACGTTTCCGATGGAATACTTGTGAACGAAGATCCAGAATCAACAATCATGTCAATTTTAAGGTGATCTCCGATTGTGACGTTGGTTTTGTCGACGGATATAGCATTAAGCGTGACATAGTAAAAGGGATGGTCAGGTTTTGAGAACATAGGGATTGTGAAAACTTCTGTTCCTGATTGTGTTGATTCGAAGCTGAATCTGAGTTTCCCAGAAGATTGTGACCAAAAGGGAAGTAAACAGTAGGAGAATATGCGACCAACTTTGGGACTTACTTGTGAAACTAACGAGTAAGGTGAATTTCCAAGACCAGCTATGCCTGTGGTGCTTTGGACTGTTCGGTCTGGGAACCAACTGTTGTTGTATCCACATCCGAATACGGTGCTTTGAAAACTTACTAGCAAGTTCTTGTCATCGGGACCAAAGCTGATGACATCTGAACCTATTTCTCCAATTGAGAAACTCCCGTCTCCATAACTGATCTTGTAACTAGGTACAAATTAATCATTCCAAAGAACATGTAAGAAGGGTACACAGTGAATGATTGATGCATGTAACTGTAGAGTCATTGTAATTTGTAAATGTACACCGGTTGATGTCACAAGTGATTTGATAAAAAATGAAGAAAAGGGAAGAAAATTACATAAAATTAAAATATAAGAAAAACTAATATTTATTTATAATTATTATGTGATTATATTAGTAAATTATAAGTTTTCAAGTTTATATATATATAATTTGATTTCTCTAAAGTAAGAAAATATGTAAGGTATGAAAATATTTTTTATTTAATCAAAGTATTTATAAAATTATTTAGTATTATATTAACATTTTTCATAAATTGTATACTACTTCTCATCAAGATTAAGTAAAGTAAACGAGTTGGTTGTTTTTAATTAATTATGCCATAAATTTCAATTATAATTTTAATCGATTGATAATTAATTTGCTTTTATTTTCAATTCAAAAAATTTAAAGCAAGAAAAATTGATAACTTTATAATTATGAAAATAAAGGTAAAAAAAATTACACGTAGATAAATGCTATGAAATAATGGGAAGGACTAGGAAAAAGCAAAAAAAAACTCATAACACGTATACCTGCAATCCCCTGATCCTACACAGTAAGCGGAGGGCAACATGCGACAAGGAAGAGAGCTACAAGGTAATTTTTCGTAAGTTGAGGATTTCATTGTATCAAAAATGGGTGTGACTTGTTGGAAACATTTGGCACAAGGTTGGCATTGTATCCATATCAGACCACTGCCTGTGTCTACATCTAAAAATGACTCCTCTGGTGGGGTACCTATGAACACTCTCATGAGGTATTCTCCATTGTTTGTAATTATTTTAGTTTCAACTTTGTCAAGGTTGTAGGAACGAGAAATTGAGCGCATGGCGGCACGTAAAACTATCTTAGTGTGGTTCAGTGAAGGGTCGTAGAAGGGTGACAAAGGTGAGTCACGATGGAAAATATCAACACTAAAACCATTTGATGGTTTAGCTTTAGAGGTACATGGGGTTGACAATAGTGTAAGATGCACAATGAGTAACATTACCAACTCCATGTTGCAAAAATGTCAAACATAGAATATGGATGTGTTGAAGGGAGATTCATGTGTTGTGGTACTTATAGAAAGATTTAAGATATTCATTAATTAATCTTATATATCCTTTATTAATGCTAACAATACTCAACATTAATATATGGAGTTAATGTATACAGTATTAGTACGTTAATAATTATATGGGACAAATTATTCTTTAGTATGATAAGAAATGACAACAAAAAATCAAGATTTTATATGTTTATTTCTAAAGATACGCTTCTAAAACAAATAAGATACAAGTAAAGTATATATTAATGCATAATATTATTTTAAATGAAAAAATAATTTTTTTATGGTATGTATTATTACATTTTCTAAAATATGAAGCACATTTAAATGGGGAAGGAAAACTAATTTATAATGAACTAATAAGAAGAACACTAATAAATTAATAATAATCTCAATAGAAATTATTATATAAGAAAAGTAAAATATTAATATTAGATTAAATTCAAAGTTATATACATGTAGTGTAACACCCCAAATTTTTCTACTAATATTACGAATAATTATTATTTACTTTTGTATTTATGAAGATTATTTCCTTATAATTATTTTTATTAATTAAATGGGTTTGATTGAATTTTTAAAGGTTTTTAATAATAATCATTTATGAAAATTATTTTGTATAATATTATTAATTATGATATTTTTGTTATAATTATTATTTGAAGAAAATCATGTTTTAAATTGTATTGATATTTTATTTTGATATATATATA